GGAGAGCTATTTGAGTGCTGGCAGTAAGGGTGATCATCTGGACATTTGCTCATTCATTCACGACTGTAATTAATTGTTAATTAATTGTTAATAAGAGGACGCAGTGAGGGTGGGTGATGATGGTGATAGGAGGGAGATGGCAGTGGTTCAGTCTTATGTTCTTCGTCTCCTTTCTTTCGTTGTTTTTCTTCTTCCGCAGTCCAAATCCACTTCTTCTGGGGTTGTGATGTATGTCATTGTAAGTTCTCTTGAAGTATGAATTGAGCAGGATCATAGCAGCAATAAATACTCGAATTAGTTGTTCTTTGTTTCAAAGGTCGCAATCCTTGATGATATGGGGGAAAGAAAACTACCCTGCATCACAAGTTGTCCTCCAGCTTTTGGGATGACAACATTAAACAGATGTGTAGGCCAACTCAACGAACTAACCAAACACACAAACACAGGTATGGTAAATAAAATGTGACATTATAAACAACTTAAGGGTCTTCTCTGTTACTTCCTGCCTCTGTTCCTACCTCTCTTGTGGAAATATCAGGTTTTTTATCAGTGGGTTCAGGAGATGCAAGCATTGAATTTGAAGGTTGAAGGACCAATCTACGAGATTGTTGCAGTTGATGATCATGAGCAGCAGCTTAAGTTGCAGGTGAGTGCGTGGGATTCTCAAGTTAGGAAAAAAAAAAAAAAAACCTCAGACTCTCGGAGGCAAAACCTCTGGGAACAAAAATGAAGCTTTTCATGCGTCCTGAATTGCTACCACTCTGTGCAAAGGCTTAAATCACGAGTGCACACCCGAGCCTGGCAGACTCGCACTGCGTGCCAAGCTCTGCCAAACCATCAGAGGCACGCTTTTCTCTTTTTTGACTGGTGCAACGAGCCATTGTGGTCCAGCAGCCCCGAGCCCCCAAAATTTTAGGAGTGAGCCATTGATTTCTGAAGTTGGCCGGGGGCGTGTCCTGGCGGTTTGAGCCACCAGTACATCCGAGGCAAATTTCCACGAGCCTGATTCGGGAGCGAAGCTGTATGAAAAACAGTTGCTGGAAAGGAAAACCACTCAAGCAACGGTCTGAGTCGTGATGGAATCATCAGAAGGGTCATCTCTTTTCGTGCTTTTTTTTTGGCTTCTGTTTTTGTCATTTCAACGTTTTGTGATTTTTCATTTGTGCGAGGATCTGGGTCCTCGGTAGGCCTATGGGGCCCTGTTTGCAGCATTGGCCGCCCTAAGTGAAGGCGGGCCTAACATATCGCAAGAGGCCCTCGACTGTCAATTTCATATTTGGGGTTCAGGTAGTTGAGACGCGCCAGTTGGTTGAAAGAAACTCAGGCCGGGAAACACAGACATTCCCTCGGCCTTCCGGGCTTTTCCAAAGGATGCAGGCCCTGGGCGTGATTCGCAGCCTCATACAGAGACAGTTGGGCGCCCAACCGAACGAGGCCCAGCAGCCCAGTAGCTGCTGTACCCAGGCAGCCTGCTGGGGTCTTCCGGAAGCTTCTGGGCCCAGGCCAGTGCAGCCAGGCTGCGCGAGCAGGCCAACCCTTTCCGTAAAGGAAAGAGCTCTGCCCTGGCTGCCGCATTCAGGCACTCGCATGCTAGCGGCAGCGCTGCTGGAGCAAGGGCTCGCGGCTGCTGGCTGGCGCTGAGAGGCGAGGTGCAGCACGTGCGGTCGTGTAGGGAAGAAGGGCGCTGCTGAGGGCAGCGCCATAGCCCAGCCACCATAGCTGGTGGGTTTGGACTACAATGATGCGCAGGGGTGGTCTTCGGGTGCAAGAGAGGATAGGTGTGGGTGTTAAGTCAAGGAAGGGCGACGGATGATGATGATAATGATGTGAGGGCACTTACCTTGTATTGGCGATGGTCTGCATATGGGCGACATCTTCAAGTACTTCGGGTTGCCGCTGATGTCAACAGTTGCATTGTCTATTATTAGGTTGATCGTAGCTGTGTAGGAGTAGGCTGAGCGCTGAACGCCAAGTGGGAGTGTGAAGGGACTGGCCTCTTGTGTTACTGAAGGAGAGAGAAAGCTCTCCATGACATTGGTTTTCAGTACTACGAACTTCCATTGGTGTATTATTGGTTGCAATGCTGCTCTTGGACACAGTGTGACTATCTGGCTTTTAATGTGATGGTGTAATCTGGATTTGTCATCTCGCTGTTGCTTATTTTCCTTGCATTTGTGGTGCATGCATGCTTTTGTGTTCGTCATTTTGTGTCTTTTCATTTTCTGAAATTCCTGTTTGTAAACATATCACGAGCTCAAATTTGGTGGAATCACATGAATGCAATTGTTAGGGCCTCGCCGCACGTGTAATGAACCCAGTCGTGATGAAGGCAATCAATGTCGTGATCAAAGTCTGAACCCAGCAGACAAAACAATGTCTCCAAAATCGATTATATGCAGGGCTGGGCTGGCAACCGGGCCGGTTCAGCTCTCCTGGTCCAGCCGCAGCCGGAACCCGGAAACCGGTTTTTCAAAAGACAATTTTTTTTTTTTTTTTGGGGGGGGGGGGGGGTGCATATTATTGAGATATTCAGGGGATATGCTTTTAGGGGGAGGGGTCGTGTAAGCAAGCTTACTTATCTGACCCTCCC